ACACAACACTGGTAGGTATTACTTAAAATTTAAGTTTCTATATCTTGCTGAAAGGTTACTTCTAAGTCAGTTTTGTTTTGTTTCAAGTGTAATTAAATGGTGAAAATTCAGCTTTGAAAACTGAACACACATTTTTTATGACAGGTTAAACAAACTAAATTATAGCTGTTGATTTTTTACTTTGTAACTTTACACGTGGGACCCAATATATTATCATTGCTCATCAAGTAAAATGAATATTTATCTTTTACTGTGAACACTGCTCTTTAAAGGACAGATGAAGGCAACTTTTATTGTCTCTCTTATTCAGAAACCTCAGACTCTTTCTGTGTTTCATAGTAAATTTGCCACTCACAATATGGTGCCTCTACGCTGAAGTGGTCTAGTTTGGCGCAGATAAATACACAGAAGAAGAGTCTAGAACAGTGGTTCTTAACCTGGGTTCGATCGAACCCCAGGGGTTTGATGAGTCAGTCTCAGGGGTTCGGCGGTGCCTCTGCCGCGGAGGTAAAGACACACTGTGTAAAGTCGAGATGACGCCCCGCTTTGCCATCACTTGCTGCAGAGGATCACGTTACATTTCTTAGCCAATCAGAGCTGCGGAGGAGCTCTGATTGAAGGAGCTCCACTCTCAGCATGGATTTGAATTTGTGTCTTTAATTACTTCAGCAAAGCTCACCGTTTTTACCAAATTCTGTAGCTTTCGGTGTACTTCTAAATCTGCACCTTAGTCGCATCTTTTTGGGGTTGGTACTGCCTCTAGTGGCGTGGGGGTGGTAACACAACTAATATAATTACATTACTAAATCAGAATACCGCAAAGTCCTTATTATTTATTATTAATTTTTCATTCTCTTAAGAAAGTAGAGCTAATTAAATGATCTAAACAAGACCTTAAAGTGGTTCCAGTTTCTCTCGATGGCCAACCTGTTCAAACTGTGGCAAATTTTAAATACCTTGGCTCGTTCCTGGACAGTCAGCTCAACTGTGCTGAAACACTGACTATATTTTGAAGAACTGTTCTCAGAGACTCTACCTTTTAAGAAAATTTAGTGATCATGGGTGACCCAACTAGACTTTAGTTGGGTCACCCATGTGTCTTGAATTTGGGGGTGGAATATTTTATTTATTACTACAGAAGGGTTCAGTGAATGCGTATATGAAACTGGTGGGTTCGGTACCTCAAAAAAGGTTAAGAACCACTGGTCTAGAAGGAAAACATAAGACAGAAAGTCAAACAGACCAATATGTTACATTTTAACATGATTTGAACTTAAATACATTCTGGTTTTAAGATGAATGTGCTCCACCCATACGTTGAAAGAAAAACATCAAACCAAACCCAAAATAAATAGGAAAAAATTGGGTTTCATACATCAATAATATTCCTGCACATAAAACTGAATAAAGATAAGATTTTGGCATTTTTGGAAACATAAATAGAAGTAGAAAATAACCAAATAGAAACTTGAAAGTGCGGAGTTTGTCTCCCCCTGCTGGTCAGGTTAGCTCATTGCACCGGAACTCAGCGACTCATTCAAGAAGTTCTAAAAGAACCAGAGATCCTTCACACATCCAGGTTTCCCCAGATTTCCTTAAAATCTCAAGGTGTTAAATTTATCCAACAATCCGCTACAAGTCGCTTACCTGCAAACCTCACATCGAGACGCTACCTAATCTTTTATGACCGTCTTTTCTGAAGTTATTTTTATCTTTCTTGTCTTTAGGTGTGCAGGACGGTTGGTTTAATATTTCTAAATTCAGTCTGACGTCAATAATATCGTCGTTGTTCCGCATATTGTAAAGAAAGGACTCTCACTGATGCAGTGTGAAGATTATGATTGTAAACATCCCCCGAGACGCACATAATAAATATAACTGTAAAACTCTAAAGCAAATGAGCTTAAATTGTCAGATTAAAAAATAATGATCACAGTCAGTTGTAACGGATAAACTCAAATCTTGAATGAAATGTTCTGTATTTGTGATCATATGGTAAAGAGTTTTTTGTCTGTAGCTTTAGTAAAAATGATAAATGTTTCTTATCCTGTTTAATCACAATGATTTTATTAAAGATATTCTCATCATGGGTCTATTGCGTCATTATCTGCAGCTGCTTCATGTTTTATTTTCAGATGAAGTCACGTCGTTCCGTCACTTTTCCTCCACAATCAGAAAGTGAACTGGACAAGATTGTGAAACAGAAAATAAGTGATGTAATCACGTTCACTAAGAGGAGCCTTCAAAATAAAAGCCGCTCACTTTGATTGAAATAAAATACTGAAAGTTCGGATCAGTCCCAAAGTCCAAATCAACCTAGAACAATCCGGTCTTCACCGCTTTTAGTTTGCTTGTAAATCTTTCAAATGTTTCGTGTTTTTTGTTTGTTTGGTTGGTTTTTGTAACTTTGTTTACAAACTGAGAGGCCGCCATCACTGTTTACACATGCGGTGAGGTTTGGAAACTGAATGGCAAAAGAGGAACTTCCCACGTGTTCTGATCCCGCCGACTGATTCTGGATCAGCAGCTCGAACTGACACAAGCAGTCAAATCACACCCGATTATTGGTGATTGATCAGAGGAAATGAACCCTGGAGATTATCCAGCTGGGATCTGTCGCCGATCAGACCCGATGCATAAAGAAATAAAGTTTGAACGCGTCTATCTCGCCGTTTATTCGGTTTCCAGCAGAGGGCGCTGTGAAGACAGAAAATAAAAAAGGAAAGTGGGACTTTTCCTCTTCTTTTCATTTTTCTGTCTCCAGGAATAAAATGATCGTCTTCAGTCAGACCAACACAATGTCAGCACAACTCAGCTCATCCTCAGCATCATGGATCCCACCACGTTCAGGAATATGGCAACCATCCTCATCCTCTGCAGCGCCTTGACCTCTGCACTCTGCTGTGATTGGCTCACCCACTACAACGACCTGAGGAACAGCACTTTGGTTCGGGTCAGGTCCATGGTGAGTACCGACATGCGTCCAAAAGGGCCTTTTAGAGCGGATGACAGGATTACCGGCGGTGGTTTGGACATGAATGAAATTCATTCAGGGAATCTAAAAGCATTTTCAAAAAGTATTTTAGATTTGTCCAAACTTTTTGTCACATGTCAGCTTAAAATGATCATTTTTTAAAACTACAATGCAAAAATACAAAATCTTACCGAGTATTCCTGGTCTAGTTTTAGGTGCAAATGGCTTGCAGTACTTGAAATAAGACAGAAATAAATTTACTTTTTGCTTGTTTTAAGTCAATAATTGAAAAGGTAGTTGTTCCATTTATAATTAGTACTTTTTCATCAATATTAACCTGAAATTAAATCTTTATTTATCTCACACGAGTAAAATGTCAGAGAAACAAATAAGAAAATCCAAATATTTAATAATTATTATCATAACAAACAAAACTTCTATATCCAGTTTGAAAAGGAATAAGAAAAAAACAAAGCTTATTAAATCTTAACCCCAATTGTCTCATCCAAATATGTCCTAAATTCTGTATTTACACATTTATTACAGAATTGTTGTAAGTTGTAAGTTAATTTTGTCTTATTTCAAGTTTCCTAAAATATTTTTTACCTACTCAATGACAAAGTAAGCATTAACTATTTTAATTAAACTTTTGTTTTTATTGGAATGAGACCATAGATCCAAAACTTCAAATGTTTTTTTTCCAGCTTGCTTATTATTCTGGGCTCCATTGAAGAAAACTGAAAAAATATTTGATCTATTTTTAGTAATAAATCAGGGTCTAGGTCAGTGTTAATTTGAACATTTGTAATTATATGCAGATTTTGTGCAGAAAAGTTGATCACTTTGTGTGGCAAGTAGATTTTAATTGAAAAGTTCTAGTTCTGTCTTGATTTATTTTATTTATGCTTGAATTATGATTGAAAAAAATCAGTCCAGCCCCTGAACCGCACTTTGAACACCCTCGTCTTAAAGAGACTCCTAGTGGATGTAGTCAGTATCAACGCTTGACGTTTCAAAGTTTGCAGTTCAACCAGTTAAACCAGTTAAGCAGCTGTGGTTTCTAAAGTGTGATGTTGAGAAATTCAAGGTTGTTTCATTATTTTCCAGAAATGTCCGATCGCCACCACAACTCCTCTGCGATTCAGAGACAGACTGTACAAGGACATGAAGACGAGAGAGGTAATCAGTCGATCAATTGATTGATCAATTGACGTAATCAGTTCTGTCAGCCAATCAGAAAGCTGCAGCTCACACCTGTCTTTGTGTTTCCAGGAGAACTTCCAGCTGCGCTTCATCAGAGACAGTCTGGTGCAGATTTACAATCTGTATCGCCGTGGCAACACGTCAACGGCTGGCTGGGATGCCTGGAAGACAACCGATTTCCTGGAGAGCATCAACAGGCAGTTCATGGAGCTCAATGAGTGTGTGAGTGCAGCTGGAACAGCGCCGCAACGCTAACATAAGAGGAAATTACACTGAAAAAACAGAATGGAGATCCAAGTTTCAAAAAATGTAAAAAAAAATTAATTCACTCCACCACACATGCATACAAAGTACAGCAAATTAGTTTCCACTGACAGATGAGAAATGTTTTATTGTCCAGCTCTTGGGTGCCCCACCCCTTTCTGATGCCGTCCTGGGAAACTGCCCATATCAAAACAAACATGTCTGAAGATTCTCAGTTTTTCCAGGTTTTTATATTTAAAGGTGGCCATTTTGGAAATGTCTTTCTTCATTCATTTCCTATTGAACTTGTGTGGTGAGACGACAGTCGCTTGTCCTCATCCAGCTGAGCGACCGGCTTAATTTCTGCTTTTAGGTCAAAATACGATGTTCAGTTAAAATGTAACTTTCACATTAATCGCAGGCATTAGCGTGTTAACATTGACAGCCCTAGTTAACTTATATGCAATCGAGTTATGTTTGTCAAACTTCATTTATTTATGTCTGCATAAGTGTGTGCATCAGTTTGATTACTTTTAACAAATTAATTAAGTTTTTTAAGTTGGATCACCTGTTTTGTTTTTTCAGTGTAGAGTCTGATGATAATTCAGCTTTATGTCAGACTCAACCTGCTCTGGTGTTTTCCAGGTGAAGTCAACACACAACGAGGCAACAAGCAAACATAATGAGACGACCTACGAGAAGAAACTGAAGCGATACTACCGATACCTGGAGAATAACACTCTGCTCCACCCTGTAAGTACAAATACTTCACCTCTGAAGTACAAATACTTCAGAGATGTTCAAACTTGCTGAACTTTCACACATTTTCTCACATTACAGCCACTAAACTCTACTTTAGTGAAATTACACGAAACAGAAAAACTCCTGGTTTAAAATTTTTAAAAACAAAAATCTGAAAAGAGAGTTTGGCCGATCTGTAGACCTACCAAAACATGGACATCCAATTAGACCAGAGGTGTCCAAAGTGTGGCCTGGGGGCCATTTATGGCCCTTGAAATGATTTTCTTTGGCCTTGGCCTGACCACAACTCAAGAATGGAAATGAAATGGAACAGACCATTTCAAACATTTTGAAATGGTCTGTTTTTCTTTTAATAAGCCCTCCTTTATGTTTGATACACAGATTCCATAAAATGTTTGATTATTTTTCAGCCAAGTAAAAAAAATCACAAACTATTTGAACATTTAGTTTACTAAATGTAAGTAGTTTAAATTTGCTAATTTTTGAGATAAAAAATTGAGACACCTCTTACGTAGAACAACAGGAGAGTTTTAATCAGAAAAGCAGCCTGTAGTAAAGTTATACACAAAACTGTTAGCAACTAACACATGGTGGTGGCAGCATTATGCTGTGGAGATTTAAACCTGTTTGCAGTTCAGCATCCACCAGTATAAACACCATAAACATCCAACCGAAGGTATTATAGGTTAGTTTAGTTCAAATCAGATTCGTTTTAAAATGGTCTAGTCAAAGTCCAGACCTGAATCCAACTGAAGATCAGTAGAGCATAAAATGCATGTTCACTTATGATGAAAAAAAATCAGCCAGTAGATGTTAAAACCTGGAAAAGATAAACCTCACAGAAACTTAAGGCAAACACATATGCATGCCACACTTTTCAGATTTATAGCCATTATAAAAAAAATTAAAATTAAAAACCTTCCATTTGACAACAATGAACTAATTGTGTCAGTCTGTTACACAAAACCCCCAAAAATCCACTGGAGTTTGTGGTTGTGTGATGTAAGGAAATTCAACAAGTGGGAATATTTTTTTGAGTGTCTGACATTTCAGTGAAGTTGTGACATGTTCTGACCCGGGTTCTGCTCCGGTAGGGCGGCAGAGACGGCTGGGAGATGCTCAGGAGGGAGACCGAACAGAACCTGATTCGACTGGACCTGCTGGGGAGCCTGATTAAAGACAGAAGGGGGCAGCATTGAGCGATTTACTGATGAAACCAATTCAACAGTCTTCGAGTGTTTCTTTAGTTCTTTTTTTTTTTTTGATTGGTTGATTGATTTTTTTACTTACTTGTGGTGCTTATTTATGAACAAACTGTTATTTATTTAAATATTTATTATTTTGTTATTTTTATATCAAAATAAATTATGAAACATCATATTTGTGGAATGGTTTGTATTTTTTATTTATTTTAACCAAAAAGCTGTGAGATAAACAGAAGAGATATGAAAGTTAGTGTAGTAAAATATTGAGTTAATTGAGCTGAAATCATGTCAAATATGGGACTGAAGTGAAACAGCTACATGTTCAAATTTGTCTTCTTTTGACTGGAAACGTATCCTTACCAGGTTCTCAAATTATTTTTTTTCCTCCAGAGAACAAAAAATCATGGAAAAAACTAAACCAGGAAAACCTCAGGAAAACCTGAAATTTAAAAGGATTATTCTAAATTTTAATCATGATTTTAATTATATATTGGTTGCATCCTGAAACTGTCACATTTGTCCCCCATTCTTTCATGAGAGTGAGAATGTTATATAATGTGAGAGTGAGCAAGACAATGGAAAACAGTGATAAAGTGTAACAGGTGTGACAATGAAAATATTAAAGTGTGTAAAAAACAGAACAAAGTGAGACTGTTACAAATGTGACAATGTTCCTAATGAAACAAAGTAAGACTAAAACAGCAAGTGTGAGAGAGAAACAGAGTAAACGATTGATACATTGTGATTGGTGTAATAAGAGTATTTTCACAAGTTCAACAAAGTTAAAATATTTAAAAGAGTGGGCGTAATCAGTTTTGAGTTTTTAGGAATGTTTTCACTTGGCTGCTGGATCAGTTGGCCGTGGTTCTCCCTGGTTGAGGTCTGGAGGATGTCATAGGTCAGGGATGCCCAAAGCGGGTCAGGCATCCTGCATGTTTTAGTTCTCTCCCTGATGGTAGTAACAATCTTTTCAGCATGCCAATGTTCCTCTTAGGCCTCTAATGAGCCATCATTTGATCCAGGTGTGTTTAACCAGGGAGAGAACTAAAACATGCAGGATGCTGGGCCTCGAGGATCGACTTTGGGCTCCCCTGTCATAGGTGAAGACGGCCACTGAACCACACACCAACCAAGGTATCTTCTTAAAGAGTGCGGTGCCGGATCCAGACGGACGGAGAGTTGGAGGCAGACAAGATAGACCCTGACCAGAGACACAAAGATATTTAAAAAAGCTGCTGATGATTCTGATCTTCAATCTGCATCAACCTTAAGTCTGTTTTTACTTTCTGCTTTTTAGATCATTTAGAGTGCAGAATTGGACTTGTAGCAGTTTAAAATGCGCAGTTGGACTTGGGTTACTAATTAGTGCATGTAAGTTAGCAGTTATATTTAGAAAATTCTGCAGATTCTGCCAGCAGTTCAATGCACCACAAGTTGCCATTTTTTCCACTTCATCACCTGCCGCCACTGGTGTCATCGTAGCTCCATTCTGATGTGACTTCTGGTCCAATTCAGTCAGAGCTCTATTTTTGCTCTCAGCCATGAGTACCAAGCAGGAGATCAAGATGATCTCAGAACTGCCATTTGAGACATGAACGGGTCCAGATGAGGAGAAGCTGGCCTGCTGACACACACACGAACCAGAACCTGAACTCACATCGGATCACGCGGCGTGAAGCAGGAGGTTTTGTTCTGAATCTCCACTTTGCACTGACGCTCAGAAGAAGACATTTCTAGAATCTGTTCAGGGAGACAAACATGGAAATAATTAGGTTTAAGGAAACTTACTCATACATCCTCACAGGAAAAACATCCTGAATTTATCAGAGAGGAAAACCGAAAGGAACATTAGAAATTCATTTTGCCAGATCGGAACAAACAGATTTAGATCCCGGACCAACTGTAACTTCTAACTTATGACATACAAAGACAATGTGGATAATGCTGAGTGCTGAGGAGGAGAAGAGAAAGAAAAAAGAAGGGATGCAGATGAGCAAGTTAACATTACAGCTGTTATAAGAAGTTCTTCCCTAACTAATGTTCATGCTTCATATTGACTTTCAAACAAAGTAAAGTCACTAGATTTGTCTCTTTTTTGATTAAAAAAAAAAGTCTCTAGATGGTCTGAAAGTCGCTAAGTTGTTTCGTTTTGACCAAAGCCCATTTTAACCCCTTCTGATCACCTCAGCACTTGGCCACGCCCCTCAGTGTCTCCTGGCCCCGCCCACTTTGGTGTCATTTTTCTAAATTTATCAGGGGTGTGGCAGACAGGACTTGGTTCTATTACTGACCCTTTGCAACTACATCACTTAGACATTCAAGGCACCATGATGGAAGTTGAAAGTGACAGTCGAGAGTATTGAACAGAGCAACTAAAATAATTTTCCAAAGTTGTTTTTGCCACTTTACTCATGGCTTCTTCTTGTTCGAGTCGAGCTCATTTGTCTTTGAGCCAAACACATCCGGTTGGGTCTGATAGACGGCAGTATTTACAGAAGCTTGAAACAGCTAGCTTACAAACTGACCCGTACCTCCTCCCTCCTGATGTGTTGATTAATTTACCGACTTTCTCTGAATTCACACCACATGATTTAAATCATTGTCATAAACAGTGTTTCCTCTTACACCAGACCAGCCTTAAAAACGTACAAAAGATGAGATGCTAACCAGTTATTTCCATTCATGCTAGGCTACATGATGCTGTGGGGCACTGTATCCATGGTTACTGACGGCTGGACGCTTACCTTAATGCAAAGCAATATTTGATATCTTTCTAATCATACTTACTTATAGCGTAATTGTTAATCTTCTTACCTTGTCTTACCTCTTGCCAGCAGCTCAAAAGGATATTGATCAATTGATCAAGCAGAAACCTATTTTTGTCCAGACAGCTCAGTTACACCCAGACACATTTCATCCAACTCATTTTTATTAGTCAGTTTTTATTAGCCACATTTTAGCTGATGTTTAAATCAGCAGGAATCTGTTCCAAGTCTTTCTTTTAGCATCCAAATTATTTTGGTCTTGAGAAAACCATATGGTTGAGTTCTCCAAACTAGGGACAAACTATCTGAGACTTGAAATCACCAACCAGAACCAACAGGCCCAGATGATTAGAATTTTTCAGATGAAAGTTACTCACTTGTTCAGAGCTCTTGAGGAACATCAGTCATCTGGAGATCTCTGTGACTGAGCACTGGATCCAGATTCTTGAGTAATGTTGGTGAGAACTCCTCCTCCTGTGGAAATCTGAGCCCTAAAAAGACCCTGAATCCAAGTCTGAGATCCCTGGACGAGACATGCTGGATAAAAGTTTAACTCTCTTGAGATGACAAATGGAGCAGCAGAAGATAATAGAGGATAAATCTTTCTAATTATTGTGTTTATTGAGCTGAAAGCCTTTATGATAACCATCATGGTAACTTTGGGTAAGTATCATTAAGGGGTAGTCATGACATACCCCTTAATGATGAGTCCCTGTGAAACAGCTTTACATCACCATCAGATTCTGAAGCTGTAGATTATCCAGCTACTTGGTGCTCAAGTGATGAGAGAGCGCAGCAGCCCCTTTATATCTCCCATTGTCCTGGTCAGAAAGAAGGACAGGAGCCTGATGAAATGTGTGGATGGCCAGCAGCTTAATAGCAAGACCTGCAAAGATGCCTTCCCACTACCACAGGAGTGTTTGGACCCTGTCACAGGTGCTCGCTGGTTCTCTATCCTTAGACCGGGCAAGTGATTACAACCAGCCCCTCGTTGCAGAAGCTGACCACCATAAAATGGTGTTCTGTTCTCCATTTGGTCTATGTAAGTGGAATAGCATGCTATTTTGGTTTGCAATGCACCCAGTACATTGCAGAGGCTTATGCCGTGTATTTTCAGCTGCTGCTGGCGTTCTGACTAAAACCAGGAAGATAGAGAGCATCACCCAGTTCTAAAGTCCTTCTACTGAGACAATAGCCTGTGAAATACTGTTGGTAGTTTATAAATCACCAAACAGCTTAAAGGCCTGCTGCTGTTGTATCAACCTTCCAGACCTCTCAGGTCTTCTGGCTGTTGATAGTTGCAGTGAGGGATCAGATCTCCTCATGGTGTCTGTGTTCACACTCACAGGTTGGACAGAAGCACATAGTCCAGACAGCTCAGTTACACCCAGACACATTTCATCCAACTCATTTTTATTAGTCAGTTTTTATTAGCCACATTTTAGCTGATGTTTAAATCAGCAGGAATCTGTTCCAAGTCTTTCTTTTAGCAGTTTTGAGTTTTTAGGAATGTTTTCACTTGGCTGCTGGATCAATTGGAGATTTTTTGTTGATTTAAAGATTCAGATGAACATTCAGAGTTTTTCTGTACAATTTAGAAATGCTGAACCTGCAGGTTTTGTAGACGACTCATCACTGAACAGAAAATATCAGGGTTGATGTGGCGATACTGGGTCAAACTCCAATTAAGTTCATACAATGTTAACCTTTTCAACTGGGAAGAGTGGACGGATATCTTGCAGGGTAACTGGTTTACTGGTATAGAAGAAGTTAATGATGATTATGTTGAGAAAGAAGAAGAAGCCGTCACTGGTTAAACAGAAATAGGTTAACTGGATTCCAGTGTTGCTCATGCAGGGTAAACTGGATAAACTGGACAAAAGGAAGTGGCCGGTCTCAGTTGTTGCAGAGCTCCACTTTCAGGACGGGCTGGTAGCTGTCGGACATGCTGGCCCTGATGGTCACATGGCCCGCTCTGTGGGTCAGACTGGGCCCTTTGGCTTTCCCTCGGACAAAACCGCGCTGCGAAGCGTAGTACATCTCCTTGTAGAGCGCCTCGTCGCAGAGTTTGTCCTTGCTGAAGGCTCCCACAGCGTACCAGTTGGAGTAGAGGTTGAAGTCGTAGGGGACGGAGAACATGACGGCCAGCCGGCCGCGGTTCTGCTTGGTCGACTCCTGCAGGATGTCGTATGTGAAGACGGCCACCGTGCCGCAGGCAGCGTGGGACTTCTTGATGAAGAGCGCGGTGCCAGATTCAGACGGACGGAGAGTCGGAGGCAGAGGACAGTCACAGTTTCCACTGAAGAGATAAACGCTGAACAGAGACAGAAAGAGATTCAACAAAAACTGCTGCTGATTCTGACGCCCAGAGTTTCAATCTACCTTCTACATCAACTTTGAGTTTAAAAGTTTATTTCAACCAGAAAGGTACAATTGCAGTAACCAATTATGAAACAAGCAGTTAACATCACATGTTGTTAAATGCCGTCATCAAGTAAGTACACATGAATTACACTGATCATTGCTCCAGTTATTATGAATCAAAGCCAACTCTGAACAACTGGGTTTTTAGTAGCAATTTATCGGGACTGATTTCCTTAATGTTGGAAAATCGGTGATCGTCCAGTTTTTGCACTCTAAGCCGATCTTATCCACCAATCTTATCTACCTCAGCAACTGTCCTCTGCTCTCCTGTGAGAGAGGTTTTACTGACAGACCGGCCCACCAGGTCATGTCTCCATGTTTACAGTTAACAATAGCTAACTGTGCCAATTCAGCGACTTTCTTCCTATAGTAAGGAACATTTCAGACAAAAAAAATTTGTGTCATCTAAAATCAGAATTGGCAGGTTTGGTTTTTTTTTAAAGATTGGTAATCGGAGATCAGCCAGAAAACTAAAATCGAATCACCCCCAGTTTTCAGCATTGATTTAAAACAAAACACTCAATTCTTTATGTCCATGTTTGGCTGTTTGGACCCGAGAGGTCTGGAAGGTTAATGCAACACTTTGATACGAAGTCATTCAGTTATTTATAAACTAATATTTAGTATAGTATTTTAAAGTCCATTCCTGGTTTTAGTCAGAACTCCAGCAGCAGTGTTCTGGATCTGATTGATTTTTTTAGGCAGACCTGTTGCAGTAATTAATGCGACAATTGATAAACATATGGATGATCTTGCTGGGACATTAGTCATTTAATTATGGAAATGTTCTTCAGGTGATAGAAGGCTGACTTTGTAACCGTCTTTATGTGTCTCATAAAGATGGTTTATATGTTCTAAGCATCTGTTCAATGATTGGATGGGTTCAAAGGTCACAATCTCTTTTTCCCATCCACCCATTTTCTATACACCCTTGTCCCTAGTTGGGTCAGGAGGTCCTGCTGCCTCTCCAGCTAACGTTCCGGGCGAGAGGCGGGGTCACCCTGGACAGGTCGCCAGTCTGTCGTAGGGCAACACAGAGACAGACAGGACACACAACCATGCACACACACACTCACACCTGGGACAATTTGGAGAGACCAATTAACCTGACAGTCATGTTTTTGGACTGTGGGAGAAAGCTGGAGTACCCAGAGAGAACCCACCATGCACAGGGAGAACATGCAAACTCCATGCAGAGAGACCCCGGGACCTTCTTGCTGCAAGGCAACAGTGCTACCAACTGCACCACTGTGCAGCTACAATCTTTTTTTGTAGAATTTAATAAACCTGAATTTGAGTTTTAAGCCATTTATGTCAAAATCTTTCGACACAGAATTAGTCTATCAACATTCAGTCTGTTTTTAAAAGTCAGAAAAACTTATTATGGAAAATTTGACTCTGTGTCCTTCTCTCTCCCTTTTATCTGCTAACATGCTAACATAGCTATAACATCTAAGACTGGCGACGGTCACATGTAAGCAAAACTGATGAAGGCAGACGAACGCTCTGCTTTTATCTTCTCTGCAGAAGATGAGTTGATTTTGTTTTATTTCAAGTGTATTAACCTGTTGTTCACAGGTT